GGGGGGGGGGGGGGGGCGACGGCGGGATACGATGTTTGGTCCAATCAACTGCCAATGTAACAGCGAATAGACTACCAAAAACCTGCGCTTTTATTGGGAAAAGGGATCAGAGCTATCCAATCCAGTCCTCAGGGGCTCGAGTGGATTGTCCTCTGTCCGACTGATATTCCAGGCTGGGAATCACAGAGGATGACACAGCCCCTAAGGCAGTGGAGTTGGATTCTGGGAGCTACATGCAGAGATCAGGTTGGGGTCGGGTAGTGAATGCAGGGGGGGGGGTGTATGAGCACGCACAGAGGCAACACCGAACCCTACCTCTGCGGGAAGGGGGCATTTTTTTGTCACATTCTTCATCTTGCCAGCAGCAAGAGTCTTTCTCTTTTGGTCAAGCGTTTTAAGGTCGCTCGGGATCGTCTCGTCGCCCAGCTCGGCTGGCCGGACTTGAGCCGTCCCAGTCTCAAAAACCTCGACGGCTTCCTCCTCACTCTCTGGTGCAGTTTGGGGCTTTTGGGCGTCTGATTCCTCATCTACCTCCAGTCCCTCCCCCTCCGTCTCTCCTCCTTCACTCTGTACACACCTCTCTATCACCTCCTCGTCACTCTCCGTCAGCCTCCTCTGGCTCAGGGAGCATCTCTCCAAAGCCTCATCGCTCTCGCCGCCCTCCTCCTCTTGCTCCCTTTCGCTATCCATCTCCACCTCCTCTTCCTCACTCTCAACCTGCCCTTCTTCCTCATCTACGCTTACCTCGAGCTCATCTCCCTCTTTGTCGTTTTTGTCCTCCTCCTCACTCCCTCCATCTTTATCACTTTCGAAGCACTTCTCCACAACTTCCTCGCTATCTTCCTCCAATTGCTGTTTTTCTTCGTCTTCCTCCACCTCTTCTTTCTCCTTTGTTAAACTCTCCCCACCCTCATCGCTCTCTATGTTCTCTTCTCCGGCTTTGCTCTCATCATGCTGCCTTTCAACGCAACTTTCTACTTCCTTCTTGCTGCCATTTTGCCCTCCTTCATTGCTCTCCTGCTTCTCACTGTGTTTCATGTTTTCTGACACTCCACCATCCCCCTCGTCTTTCTCTTCATCCTCACCTTCACAGCATTCCTCCTCTATCTCATCGCTCTCTACCTCCTCCTCTTTTTTCTTGCTTTCTACAGACCCATCCCCTTCTTCTTTGCTTTTTCTCTCATCTGCTTCCTCATCCGGTGCCTCTCCATCTTCCAGCTCATTTCCTACCTCTCCTTTCTCCTCTGTCCCTCCCTCCTCTGCTTCTCCTCCTCCTTCCTTCTCTCTCTTCACGCTATCAAGATCCTCGTCTTCCAACTTTTCTGCCTCTTCCTCCTCCTCCTCCTCCTCTTCCAACACCTCATTTAACTCCTCTGGCTGCCCTCCTCCTTCGTCCTCGCCCTTCTCTTTCTGAACATCCTGATCGTTCAACTCTCCTGCATCCTCCTCCCCCTCTTCCTCCTCCACCTGCTCATTTAACTCCTCTGCTACTTCCTGTGGAGCAGAACGCTCAGAGACAGGGCTGACCGGACCTGCCCCCTCCACACTGACATGGTTTCTGCTGCCCGCCAGCGAGGACAGGAGGAGGTGGCGGCCCCTCAGAGAGTCCTTGGTGGAGGAGAATAGGAAGAACAGTCCATCCATCCCCAAAAGAGGCACAAACGAAGGCGTGCAGAGACACAAGGGAGAGAAAGGATGGAGGAGGGCAGGTGAGGGAAGGAGGCAGACAAAAAGATTTTAACCCCCCACTGAAAGAGGGTGTGGGGGGGCGGGGGGGGGATGATGATCTTGACACAACTGCATGCAAAACTGACGGATCGCGCATTTTGCAGGGACAAAATTAGTCATGACAACCAACACATGAAAAGTAAAAGACAAATAAACACATGCATCTAAAAATATACAGATGTTCTTGTTCTGGGTCTCTTTCGCACTCAAACACAGGCACACACACGCAGGAGCAGTTTTGTTGGATAAGACTTCCTTGTTTTAGCATTTCTCCTCTAAAAAAAATGTCTAAGGAAATCACTGGATCTATATGCAAAATCATTTTTGTACGTTTTCAGACTAAGTATAAATGCATTGTCAGCTTTCATTAATAGTTAATGTAAAAAAAATGTGTAAGATTGATCAATTAGGACAGAATCTAATGGCAGTGCTGGGAAGTGGTAGAGATAAATACATAAATCAGAGGGAAATGATAGTATTGATTGTTGTTATGGTGATGCTCCTGATGTATAGTTTCAGACAGCAAAGCAGTAACAGTGACAGTAGGAGGACAGCAGGACAAAGAGGAAGACACAGTAGCAGCCGTGCCCATAGGACATATCCCAGCAGCACAACAGCTACATGAACACATCCCAGGTCACGGTGCAAAGGTCACGGGTTTAAAGGTCAAAGAGGTCACGCGAGAGAAAGAGAAGGAATAAGAGATGGTTTAGAATCACAGTTACATGAGACAAGTCCACTATGGTAGTGATACACTGATAATGTGTAGAGATATGTGAACAATTGCTCCAGATTTAAACATATACATATACAAATGTACATGCATTAGCATCCATATCCCATATTATTAAGTTCTTATCATTAACTGATCCTGAAAATACAATTCAGTTATCAAAGGCTGCATTTTTACCAGAGGGAAAGGTACTTGAGACCCCTTTTATTCATAATATACTCTTGTCTCGTCTCTTGTACAAAATCTACAGCAGAAATGTTAACCTTCATATTCATGAATATACTACATGACCTGTGCTTCTAAAATTCCTGTCCACTCATGCCATTTGTAAAAAATGTTTTAATCAAGTAATAACTTGTCAGTCACTGTGAAAACACACAATGGCCATTCAAAGTATATGGCACGCAGGTGTTACATACAGAACACAGAAATGGCAGAGCGAGCGAGCGAGAAAGATGAAAACAAAGCTGGGAGCCTCTGAAAAAGTGGACGGTGTGTGTGTGTGTGTCAGTGTGGGTTTTTACCTGTTGGGACGGTGGTTCAGGGCTGTGGTCTCCAGATAGGGCCAAGTCCTGCAACTCTGGCTCTGTCCTCTCCTCAGCTGGAGCTCCACCACTGGCCTCACTGTCCTAGAGTGCGCACACACACAGACACACACACTTTACAAAAGAAAAAACACATTTCTACTTGCACCCTCCTGGAATTAATATAGAATCAAAGTGAATCAAAATCTACAAAATCAACAATGTTGTTTCTATACAAGGAAGTGTTCTTGTGTTCTCTTATTATGAGATTTATTTGACTCTGTCTACCTCATACTGTAGGCCTCCTCCAAGGGCATCCAGGTCCAGATGAAGGTTCTTCAGTAGTCGGTCTGAACCGCGTGGACTCGGCTGAAAAAGTGACAATGTCTGGTTTGATAGGAATATAGAGGATATATTTATATTTCTACTTTCATCCTCTTGCATTTGTCCTTAGGCTGCACTCTACCTCGTTTTCTGAGATTTTCTCATCGTCGTCGTCATCATCATCATCAAAGCCAGGCAGAGTGAGAGACACCCTCTCCTCCTGCCTGCTGCCCAAAACACTGGATGCTCCACTGCTTCGTGGGCCCTGACAGGGGAAGAAATCAAACATAGTGTACTGTATACTGTAAGGGTTTGAGTTAGAGGCTAGGGAAAGACTGAACAATCTAAATGCATCATACGGTACTTCATACAGCACTTAATCTTACCCCAAGGGATGTCTTTAGGGGCTCCAGTCCCCCAGAGCTGCCGAGGGACCGCCGGAGAGCGGGGGCAGATCCGGGGAGTGGGCCTGGGCCAGGGGCATCCAGACCTCTCAGAGGAGCCAGGCTGCCCAGCGGGGATGGTAGGGGTCCCAGGGCTGAACTCAGTGCCTGTATGAAAAGAGACAGACAGAGAAGTAAGCACCGAGACCAAGAATCAGAAAACATAAGGACTGTATTGTGTGTATCACACTTTAGAACCCCTACAGGAAAATGAACAACACCGATCAGGTCTAAAAAGAGAATGTGGATTGCCGTCTTGTTTTAACGTCATGTAGCTTTCAGCTTAATGAATGAATGAATGAATGAATAATGAACTGTTTGTTTATGAGGTATTCCAGATTGCACCATGCACTTGCGCCCACAGTTTGTACTTTGGGCTTCAATTTGGGAAAATAAGAGGCTGGAGTGTTATTGTGATGACATCCTGGAAATTTTGCAATAGGTTTGTGATAAATATTTAAACTTGAAATTCTTTCGAGAGCCATATATATATATATTTTACTTTTCATGCATACTCATTGTTACCTTTCTGCTAATACACTCACTAATGGCGCTGCAGTGATCGAGTAAGTTAGTTGCCGCAGTAATACAGAATGAAGCATTTACTGATTTAAAGCGGGTTAAAAAACACAACCACTCACTCCAGGAGTCTTCAGTGGCTCCTTCTTCATCTTCTCTTTTTTCTCCTTCTTTTTCTTCTTCTTCTTGATGTCTTTGTCCTTCTTCGCCCCCGGGCCTCCTGCGGCGGCTGTGAGCTGGGCGCGCTCACGCTCCTGAGCCACCAGGCGGCGGTAGTGCTCATCGCAGGGGTGATCCCAGGTGGACTGGCCCGAGGAGAAGTTGAAATAGTAAATGTCTCCTGTCACATCCTGGCTGCGGGGGAGGAGGAGGGGGGAGAGGAGGGGGGTCACTTCAGCACCTCCAAAAAGGCCCAGGAGAGGGAAGGGGGGAGATGACGGGTGGACGGGTAGGTGAACAGAAAGAAATCACCAGAGGTTGCGTTGCCACCTGAGACTGAATTTGAGTCAATTTCACCCTTAAAGATCCTAAAGATCTGTTGGGCCATTAAAGATTAAAGCTGATTACTTAGTTCACAGCAAGCAGTCTGGATGCTGTTTGTCGCTTTATCAAAACTACACAAACCATACCTTACATCGATAGCATCCGCCTGGTTTTGCCATGTTAGCAGCGTGTTGTAATGTAAGAGGCATTATTTATTTATTTATTTTCATTTCACTGCAGCTGACACCTCCACCTTCAGGTGTCAGGAGCAGACCTTCGCCCTCGATCTCGTCTCACTCACATAGATCAAACTGCTGCTGCTGGGACAGTATCTTTGGTGCTTCACTAGAAATCACAAGACAGCTCACAACAACTTTCAGCTTCAATCAAGAGTAATAAAAAAACCCTGAGCAAGACTGTAACAACACAGCGTTCACACCATTTCAGTTTGATTCCATGAGACAGTAAGATGATATCTGTTTCAGACTGTTTACTGTGGATGGCCATGCCGCCGAGGCTCCGCTCCCCAGCTTCTCTCCCCTTACTTACCAAGGCTTCCACTCGGGAGGCAGAGGGGCAACAATGCCTTCCCTGGCCAGCCACAGGAGCTCCGGCTCACTGTCGGGATCAATGCCAATTTCTCTTGCGTACTCTTGGATCTCTGATGAGTGAAAGAATGATATGAGACAAGCTGAATGCACCAATATCACATTACACAGCATGTTGATACTCAGTGGTGTAGTGCAGGTATACGGAGTATTCCTCTCATTCACTGTTATTTTTCAGTCAGCCTTGGGTATTACTACTTCTAAATCTTATTCAGTTGTGTCCTCTGAAATGAATATTTTTTCCCTAGGATAGTGAAGGCATGACATAGTTGAGTCATGAGTGGATGGAGTAAGTTATCAGGAATACTTTGCTTAAAATGCATAACTATGTAGTTGTCTCACCCGGATGTGGGCCAGTATTCGTAGGAAAACCTGCACTTCTGTGATTAATGTTTATTTCATAAAGATCCTTAATCCCTGAAGGCAGTTAAGTGACAATGTACGGATACTACTGGCTGGATGGATCGCTTTAAAATAAGAAAAATTTAGAGTATACCTACTTCTCCACACACCACTGTTGAGACTGAATAAATAAAGAGTGTATATACGCAATGTATATGTACACAAATGTTCCTGTTTTTTATATCTGTATTTATTTCACTCAAATGTTGCTGTGACAAGTGAATTTCCCCATTGTGGGATTAATAAAGTTATCTATCTATCTATCTATCAGTCTATCTGTCTGTCTATCTATCTATCATCTACTACCATACCCAGTATTACCCTGACCCCTGCGTACCTTGTTCAGAGGGTATATAGGTCTCATCATAGTCCTCTTCAAGGATCAGCTGGTCTCCTATGAGAGCAGCTGCAGTCATGGTGACTGCAGAGACAGGGACAACATACAACAGGGTGACTGGCACAAGAACTCAATATACTGCTTCTAACACTGTGGCAGACCGCTCCAGCCTCAGCTCCTTCACCTCCCTTCTGGGAGAAAACTGAAGATTGTATGTTGACATTAAGCTCGGCTAATGAGATTAACACATCCACTTCTTGTTATATTGTTGGACAAAGAAAAGCCAGGCTGTATTACAGAGCACACGTTTAAGCCTGTGAGAAACTGTGCACCGTAAGGCAATGTTAACATCTCGATAACACTAGATATCGACGTGAAATCGTTTTAATCCCAGTAATGATGGGGACACACAGGAAACAGACGAGCTAAACGAGCAGCTCAGCTAGCTTCAGCGTTAGCTAGCCGGGCGCCATCAGGCTACTTATCGTTAGCTCAGGCAGCTAACGATAAGTAGCTGGAGAACAGCTCATTGGTGATAAGTGATTTACCTTCCGGACTTTGAATCGTTTTCTCATTAGCCTCTGTGGGAATATCGATAGGCTGTGAGTTGTTTATCACGGACACTGTGGACGCAGTGACGTTACAGCACCAACGACGTCTCCAAGGACGCTTCCCCTGTTTCCTGTTGACATTTGAAACGTGGCTCTGACTGGCTGAGCCGCATGAGGCGTTCAGGCGTCCTCGTAAGCTCCTACTTCAACATCATCAACATGCACAGTACTCTTGTCTATCTGTTGATAATGGAGAAATTACATTTTGTTTCCTTTAAGAATTTAATGTCAAAGACTTTGATTCAACAGGACTAGAGGGAAAAGACAACATTAAAGATATTTTTAATTGTTTTTGTTTTGATTTGCCAATGTTAATGCATTAAAATAAAGAGGTATGTCTTACTAATGTGGAAAGACGACAAAAACCTTAGACTAAATGCATTCTGTGTACTGTTTTGTGTGCATTTTTTTGTGTGTTCATGTTATCCTGATATATATTTTTCCAGCTGATTGGGTCCTTCACGTGTCTAGTTATATGTGCTTTATATTTTGCACTGCACATGAAAGCACCAATCAGTGTACATCTTCAGCAATAGAGGGTATCTATACAATTACTGAAGGGCAAAACAAGTGTGTCTGTATGTATGTATACAACAGAATCAGCATACAATGGTTCAAATGGACTCTAAGCCAAAACGAAGCCCTTCAGTGATCCAGGTTTACATTTTTGTCTCAGTCCTCCTCTCACTCTTTTGTCTTTCTTTTGTGTAGAGATCAGTGTGCTGATCTCTTCAAAAATGTGTGTTAAAATAGCTTAGCAGGTGTGGGGTTTTCTTTTACAAAGGGAAAAGGTGATGTGTTTTGCATGTATTTTAGGGGAAATTGAATGTAAGGATCCCCGTGGTGTGGCAAATGGCACTTTCTGTCCCCAAGCCTCTCATTCACAGCTGGGGGCGGCATTAACACTGTGTTGCTAAATGATGCCTTTGTCCAGTCCCGGAGCCAGAGTGTTATTTCAGGTTGTTGACAGTATTCTCATGCAATCCATTGCTGACTGTTGTCTAAAGCAGAGTAAAATATTCTTGCAAGACTTTAAAAATATTTTCTAGTGCAATATGTGCAGTCACATTATAGCTTCAAGTAAATAACATTATCTTAGTCTGACTTCAGTCATGACCGCTTTACTCAGGGTTTTAACCACAAGAGGGCAGGACTGATGCAACATGACTTTCCAGGTAGTCTTTAATCCACCACTCTGACATAGTAGAAGCTGTGATGATGTCCTGAAAGCAGTACATTTTTCCAAAGTGGTGCCAATAATGCAGTTTGTTTTCAAATATCCCCTACTGCTCAACAGGTATTTCCTCCACTGTCACATATTGGTTTCTCATTTATTAGACACGCTTCTTTTTTGGTATTTGACTACATACTATTGATAATACAAATCTAATAAAACACATAATAATAGATAACCAAAGAGAAATACCAAATAGAATTGTAGAACTCTTGGTTCATGGGTTCAGATAGATATCTTTGAGTCCTGTGTTTGTCATGGTGTGGGCGGTTTGGTTCTAGTAGCAGAGTGAATGACCTCTACATCTTGGGCAATGCTAGCTTTAGCATTACAAACAGGCCTTGAAACTCAGATGATCAACTCAACACCTACGCACCAAACTACATGGACAAGAAATGTTAGATTTGAGTCCTAATTTGTGATTGCAGCGTGTTTTTCAATCTCAGTAACCCAAACATGAATCGTGTGTTTCAGTTTGTGGATGAACTACAATATGGTAGCCATGATGTTAATCTTTTTCTTTAAAATGTGAGTCAACTCTTTGTTTTCCATTTACGATGGCGGTGGATGTTACATCTCTGAACAACCCACATCATGACCCATTCCATTTCATTTCATTAAGAAAAGCAATGTACCCAAGCTAAGCTGTCTTTGAGAATCCAAAATGATTTTAAAGAATAAAGGTAGCACACTAATTGCTTTTTGATTAAACTATTCTACTACTGACTGTATCAGGTAAATGCAGTGAAGTAAAAAGCATATTTCCCATGAAAACAAGGGTCTAATGGTAAAAATGGAAACAGTCCAGTCATTTATCTTAAAATCATCTTTGAACTCTAGTTAAAACTCTGCCATGATCCTTCTTAAGAGGACGTGTACAATGTGTACTGTTACCTGTAGTAAAGAATTACAATACACTGCATGTTCCCTGACTGCTCATTAAAACATTCACACAGTTTGTTTTGTTGCATTTGCTGTCACATCAGCTTTGTGTAGCGCTTCACCACAGAAACATGTTCTTATGTTGGCTTACCCTAGCATTTAACTATGCACTTTAATAAACTGCATTATCTTTGGAACAGGTTTAAGAGCAACAAATGACTACAGAGGCTCATAAAAGGAGAAGATAATGTTTCCTATCACTGTCCAGAACGAAACTCACAGCGTGTTGGTTGGCATAGGAGTTGTGTGTCCTCATTATTCTCTGATTACGTGAGCATGTCAGTATTGTGATAAAGCGTGGATTATTTTATGATTAAACAAAAAGTCTTAATGTGTATCACCTTCATTTTGCTGCTCTAATGATTTAGGTTATCTGAGTTCAGGGTGGCTCTTGCTTTGCTGTCAAGCTGTACAACCCACAGGGCGATGCAGCCTACAGTGACACTCTATGACCAGGGCTTTGGTCCAAATATCTGTATTAAAGCAGAAGCGACCTCAGCAGATGTGACATTGCAAAACCACATCACTACAGTTGAGCAGACTTGGGTATAGCCATCTGAAGTGGTGTGTGTGTTGAAGAAAATGAGAGAGAGCATCACACTGTTGCTCACAGCTGAGATAACCTCCCCTGCTGGTTTGAGAACAGTGCTCCATCATGGAGGCAGCTGGAACAATGACGTGACCTTTGAACCTCAGCCAGGGCCTGATCAAATGGTGGATTTTCTGATTAAATATTTATCAGCTCCAGGCAATTACCCCACATCTGTCTGGCTGTCTGATGATCACTGTAAAACTGGTTGTTGATCATCAACAAACAACTTCCTTTTATTAGTAGGACATCAATAAATCGCATCAAATGTTAACCTAGTTGTCAGTTGGCTTTATGTAACTGTTGATGCCGCTGAAATCTTATCATAGGAATGATATTTTCTTAAATGAAGCCCAAATGATGCTTACAATCCAGCTTCAACCCAGTGTTGGTGCTGCCTATATGGTGTGTTTGTGTCCCAAAATAGTTGTCAACCAAGAATTTTTAGATTTGCCACAATTAACTTTTCTGCTCCCCTTGAAATGTGCTTGTTGCTAGACTAGATCATTGATCAGTTGCCTGTACAGTTTTACGATAACATGCAACCTTAGCGACTGCCTCGCCAGCGAGGAGTTCTGAGTTCTTATTGATAACAAATTACGACGGCAGTAATCTAGATAGATGGCTCATTGTGGATGCTGAATCAATGTGCTGCAATGCAAGCAGTCTCAAAGGTTGCTGTTCCAGATAAGAGTCATTCTTCTGACAAGGCCTATTTCACTCCTGGTCAGCACCTCTGAGCTCAGAGAAACTGATATGTAGAACACTCTTATCTCACGGGCCAGGGCAAAAACCCTAAAGACTACTGTACAATGACAAATACAAGCCGGAGCCATTGACAGAGGGCATATGCTGTGATCTGTTCAGCCTTTTACCATTGCTGGTCTGTAAGGTGCAGACCTTCAGCTAACAATTATTTTCATGACTGATTGTTATTGTTTAATTCTTCTTTAGTCTGAAAAATGCAAGAAGATTGTGATTTCCAAGAGTGCAATGTAGCATTGTCAATCTGCTTATTTTGTCCAACCGGGGGTTTAAAAACATCGGTGAGCTTTCATGGCTATTCTAGTTTGCTTGGCTAAATAAAACACTCCTCAGCCAGAAATTCAGACATACTCATTGTTGGATGTCAACTACAAAGTTTCCATTGCTACACTTTCAAACTGTCTGCTGTATTTTGCAAATTGGTGTCAGGCAAATTGCTAGAGTTGATACTGTGAAGCCTGAGCCTAGCAGGCGTTGATGCGACTTGCGTAGGTGACAGCTCTGACACCCCACTGTCTTCATGGCCCCATCAAGCTCAGCTTGGCTTCTATCCATGAAAATGTAAAGTGAATGAGTTTGTAGCAGGGGGGTGAGAGTGAATTCAGACACCACAGCACCAAATGATGAATAACAAAAGCAAATGGAGGCAGAGAAAGACAAAGACGGGTCAAATGTCATTTGGCTTTTAAATGGGCATAGAGGAATTGCTGCAGACACACGGTCTACACTCCTCAGACAGAAACCCTGACACAAATGTGATTAAATCTGCTGCAGAAATGCAACAAATGAATGTTTAGCTTGTGTCAGAGTAGCTGACACAACTGCTGGTACACACTCAAAAATACAGACACATTTGCACCATAACAGGCACATAATAGGCCCTTATGAGTTATTTCAGGTACAGATCCAGCCTGAACTAAATACTGTGATGAAATAAGTTTGAAAGGGTTTTGCAAGATCAAAAGTATAATTGGAGAGTTGCTGGTATCAGCTGACCTGAACAGTTTGTAAAGATCCTATTTCCTC